CAATGGAGAATTCATAATCCTTATCAGTAATAAAGATAAATGAAGTAGCATAAGCAGGATCATATTTCATCCTAGCATTCAGAGTTTTTTGTTTAAGCTTAGCTAATAATTTCTTAAGATCACTTCTATCATTGCAAGCAAGAAAGTCTCTTTTAGTTTCTTCATCCATAACGTAGCCCTCAGGCACAACATGCAATTCATATTTATTGGGAGAGCCTTCATCATCACTATCATCAAAATTATCAGTTTCAATAATTTCATTCTCTCAAGCCCAAGAAAGTTGTTCATCAAGAAATTCACCAAGTGGCACAGTAGTATCAAGCATAGAAGTAGTTTCATCACAAGTATCATGCATAGCAGAAGTGGCATCATCAATAAAATGTGACATATCAGAATTAATAGCAGAAGCAGGTTTAGGTGTCGCAAGCTTACTCAAAACAGAAGGTGAATCAAGTGCAGAGCTAGATGGCAGTTCCTTACCTCCCCTCGTAATTGAGGATAAATTTTTGTTTTCTCGTCTTTCAAGTTCCTCATAGTGACCAGCAGATATAAATCCCCAGTGACTCAAAGAATAGAGCTATGCTCCCTAGCAACGGCGCCAGAAAATAGTCTTGATAACCCACAAGTATAGGGGATCGCAACAGTTTTTGAGGGTAGAGTATTCAACCCAAATTTATTGATTCGACACAAGGGGATCCAAAGAATATTCTTAAGTATTAGCAGTTGAGTTGTCAATTCCACCACACCTGGATAACTTAGTATCTACAGCAAAGTATTTAGTAGCAAAGTAGTATGGAAGTAACGGTAACAGCAGCAAAAGTAATGTTTTTGGGTTTTGTAGTGATTGTAACAGTAGCAACGGAAAAGTAAATAAGCGGAGAACAATATATGAAAAGCTCGTAGGCATTGGATCGGTGATGGAGAATTATGCCGGATGCGGTTCATCATGTAACAGTCATAACATAGGGTGACACAGAACTAGCTCCAATTCATCAATGTAATGTAGGCATGTATTCCGAATATAGTCATACGTGCTTATGGGAAAGAACTTGCATGACATCTTTTGTCCTACCCTCCCGTGGCAGCGGGGTCCTAATGGAAACTAAGGGATATTAAGGCCTCCTTTTAATATAGTACCGGATCAAAGCATAACACATAGTGAATACATGAACTCCTCAAACGATGGTCATCACCGGGAGTGGTCCCGATTATTGTCACTTCAGGGTTGCCGGATCATAACACATAGTAGGTGACTATAGACTTGCAAGATAGAATCAAGAACTCACATATATTCATGAAAACATAATAGGTTCAGATCTGAAGTCATGGCACTCGGGCCCTAGTGACAAGCATTAAGCATAGCAAAGTCATAGCAACATCAATCTCAGAACATAGTGGATACTAGGGATCAAACCCTAACAAAACTAACTCGATTACATGATAAATCTCATCCAACCCATCACCGTCCAGCAAGCCTACGATGGAATTACTCACGCACGGCGGTGAGCATCATGAAATTGGTGATGGAGGATGGTTGATGATGATGACGGCGACGGATTCCCCTCTCCGGAGCCCCGAACAGACTCCAGATCAGCCCTCCCGAGAGAGTTTAGGGCTTGACGGCGGCTCCATATCGTAAAACGCGATGAGTCTTTCTCTCTGATTTTTTCTCCCCGAACACGAATATATGAAGTTGGAGTTGAGGTCGGTGGAGCGTCAGGGGGCCCACGAGGCAGGGGGGCGCGCCCCCCACCCTCGTGGACAGGTGGAGGCCCCCCTGACGTGGATTCTTCTTCCAGTATTTTTTATATTTTCCAAAAATAAGTTTAGTGAAGTTTCAGGTCATTCCGGAAACTTTTGTTTCTGCACATAAATAACACCATGGAAAGTCTGCTGAAAACAACGTCAGTCCAGGTTAGTTCCATTCAAATCATGCAATTTAGAGTCCAAAATAAGGGCAAAAGTGTTTGGAAAAGTAGATACGACGGAGACGTATCAGTGCTCTTCGGGCCTGCCCGACTTCCACAAAGGTATCAAGTAAAGCCAAGGTAATAGTGTGTCCAAACATCAAGGGGAAAACCCGAGGAATCACCCTTGGTGAATTCCACTCGATGTAATCATCAAGGTGAACGTAAGAGGAACCACCCTCGAGTTTCACACTTGAGGGGTTGCACGACAGAGTCGTATCGGGAGTGGTCAAGGAGGAATCACCCTCGATGACCACGACCGAATAGCTACACTATAGAGATCTCATCAGGAGTGATGTGCGAGGTATCACCCTCGGCACTCGATGGTAACTCTGCAGAGTCGAGCAACAAAAGGGGCGTGGTGTGATGTGAGGTGTCGGGCTCTGGTCGTCGATCACGTTGCTCGAGTCGTCGATGATGAAGCAGGGGCAACAAGGACAAGGTGGGGGTCACTGATGGATCACTAACCAACCTATACTAAGCAGTTTAGGATAAGCAGGTAGGTAACAATAGCAGGTACAAAAGCAGGCTATGCATCAGAATAGGAGCAATCAATTATAGTAGAAAAATCTAATGCAAGCATGAGAGAATGGAATGGGCGATATCGGGATGATCAAAAGGGAGGCTTGCCCGGAAGCTCCGCTGAAAGGGAAGAAGGGGTCGTTGTCGACGTAGTCGATCACAGCGGCATCAACAGCGGTCTCAGGGTCTATCGGAGAAGAAGAGGGGGAAGAAACAGTAAATACAAGGCACACAGAGCACCACAAGGCATAACATGGCAATACACAGCGCTAGGAGTGCTCTAACACGGGGATACACGATACCGGCAAAGGAGGAACATCCGGGAATGTTTTCCCAAAGTTTGCAGTTTTTGGGCAGACGAACCGGAGGGCAACGGTTGCATGTTCGCTATGCTAGGGACGTGTGGCACACGAATAGACTGCGTATTCGGATTCATCTTGCTTTTCTGAGCAACTTTCATGTACAAAGTATTTTAATCCGAGCTACGGTTTATTTTCTATTAATTTTCAAAGTTTTAAATCATTTTCAAATTAACAGATTCAATTTAAAAGGAAAACATGGTTATGACATCAGTCTAACATCATCATGACGTCAGCAGTCAACAGATCAGTTGACCTGGTCAAACTGATAACCGGGCCCACTATCATTGTCACACTTTACTTAAAGAGACTTTAGTTAACTAACCATGTAATTAGGGTTAACTAAACAGTATTAATTAAGTTAATATTAATTAACTAATTGCTACATTAATTATTATTTTTAATACTTCTTTTTTTTATCTTAACCAGGGGTTGGGCCCCGCGTGTCATACTCACAAGGCCTAACGGGGCCGACTAACGGGTGCGCGGGGTGGGCGTGCGGCCATGGGCGCGAGCACGCCCGGCCGGGCAAGCAGAGGGCATTGGCGGGCCGCGGCGGCCTGGGCCCTGGCGAGGGCGATCGCCCGCCGAGCAGCAGCGGTGAGAGGCCAGGTGGGGCACATCAATGAGGAGGCGGACGCGCGTCCAGGGGGTCGCGGGCGCGGTGACGGACAACAGGGGCAGGGGCGACGCGAGCGGCCGGAGTAGCCAGGGCACGGCCGCCGGTGAGTGGAGGCCAGGGATGGGGCCATGGCAGACGGTGTGGCGGGGAGGCGGCGAACGAGGGCTGGCGACGAGGAGCGGGAGGGCGCGACAATGGAAGGGTTGCAGGTGCGGGCACGCATGATCAGCGAGCAGGGGAACGCGACGGACGACGTCCTACAACAGGACAGAGAGGAGAGGGGGGAAGGCGCTCACGAGGCCCTGTAGAGGTGCTAAAGCGAGCTCGGGGAGGCGCCAGAGCTCGGGGCGGCGGTGGTCGACGACGGGGACGGCGACGGCGCGATGAGGTGGCGGCATTCGGGGAGGAGGTCGAGGCGTCCGGCGTGGCGACGGGGACGGGGCGGCGGTGAGGTGGTCCGGCGAGGTGGCTCCGGGCGGCGGCGACGGGCAGCGCCGGGCGGGCGACGGATAGCACAGAATCACGCCGCGAAAGGCCCACCAAATAACCTCGTTATAAATAAACATACAACACACTTCATCATCTCCAACACCGGTCAAACTAAATATTCCATCAATGTCCAAATATACTGGGTATTAGTTTTTTGGAAAGTCAAGTTTCTTTAACTTTGACCAATTTTAGAACAAAAATATCTACATCCACAATATTGAACAAAAATATATGAAAATTCACTTCATGATGAACCTAATAACACCGATTTGATATTATAAGTTTTGGTATATTTCTCTACAAATTTGATGAAACTTAAACAAGTTTAACTTTTTAAAAAATAATAAAACACCATGTATTTTGAAATAGAGTGAGTAAAGAAATCTAAGAATCACAACAACATCGATGGCACAGCAAAGCGCGTCCAACCCTTCTAGTACTAATTAAATTGCATCCGCTCGGCTTCAAAATGGCGCCATGACGATGCACCGCATAGCGAAGCCGTGTGCTCCAATAATGAAGAAACTGACACTTGGAAACGAGAAATATTCCACTATTCTGTCCTCAAGGCTGGCCGGAGAGAAACAAATCCGACTACTTTACCGAAGGGAGATGGATTTCGCTGGATCGCTAGCTACTACTCCCTCCGTTCCATAATACATGTCTTTCCTTTTCAAAATATAAATGTATCTAGACATGTTTTAGTATATAGGTATATCCATTTTTGGACAAATGGAGTATTTTGGAACGGAGGGAGTATCAGTGAGCAAATACGATCCAAGTTGGCTGGAACACAGGAGCTGTAATCTCGACGTCACTCCCATGTCGCTTCAAGTAACTGAATCTCGAACCGTCACGTTACATGCTCGGATCTGTAACGAAAAGCATACGCACACGAGGAATGTAGTACCAGAGAGATGGTTGGTCGCAGACTTTGAGATTTTGAGCAAAAAAATGAATTCCATTACTCTGTCTTTGTTACAATGACGGTCAAAACTCAATTTTTCATCCCCGTCGGATTGAAACGGGTGAGATTTTTTTCTACAGCTGCCTAAATGCACAGGGCGCACGTAACTGTACTGCCAAATGGAAGAGTCGGTCACCACTGCATTGCGCGGTATGCCGTTGCTGTCGTCAGCAGCAACCGCAGACGGCTCGCGCTCCGCGTCTGATTCTTCGGGCCAAACGAGGTCGTAACCCACATCGGCCGGCGGCGAGTCAGCGCCTCTGTGGACCTGGTGGCACACATCGATCCAGCCATCTTCCGAGTCCCAGTCCGGCAAGGCCGAGTTGCCGCAGGCCAATGCCCCGATCCTCTCGGCCGGCGTTTCGTCCGCCTCCTCGTCGTCGGTGTCCGAGTCCCAGAGTGCGTCCTGCAGCGTGCTCTTGGGAGACGTGTATTGTTGCTTCGCCGGCGCGGCCTTGTAGTCGCAGGCGGCAGCGGCGGAAGCAACGAACGGGTGATCCAAGAGCTGCGCTCCGGTGGACCTGTCGCTGGGCTGCCTCCTGAAGCATCCGTCCAAGAAGTCCTTGGCCTCCGCGGAGAGCCACCCCGGCACCTCCGGCACGGCGGCGGTGTACCCGATCCGGTGCACGGCCGCGAGCAGATCGTTCATGTCGCTCCATGGCGCGCGGCCAGTGGCCATCTCGACGACGGTGCAGCCGAGCGCCCACACGTCGGACGCCGGCCCCTGCTCCTCGCCGCGCGCGACCTCCGGCGCCATGAACGCCGGCGTGCCGCCCATCGGGAGCAGGGAGTCCACGGCCCTCGCGCAGCCGAAGTCGGTGAGCCTGGCGCGGCCGTCGCCGCCGATCACCACGTTCCGTGCCTTCACGTCCCCGTGGACCAGCGACCTCGCATGGAGGTACTCCAGCCCCCTGGCCACGTCCCCGGCGTACGCCCGGATGGCGGGCTCCGGGAGGCAGCCCCCGCTCCTGGCGGCCTCATCCGCGAGCGAGCCGCCGGGCGCGAACTCGAGGAAGAGCTGGTACTCGCCGCACTCCGCGGCGCGGGAGCCGAGGCAGGGGATGATGTGCGGCGAGCAGAGCCCGGTGAGCACGCTGCCCTCGCGCTCCAGCTGCGCCGCGCCACCGGCGGCGGCGGACTTGACGGCCAGGAGCTTCCCCGAGGCCTCGTCGGACGCGAGCCACACGACGGCGCCAGACGCGCCGCGGCCCAGCGTGCGGATCCGCCTGAGTTGCTTCGCCACGGCGACATCCATAGTTGGTCGTCGGTGTTCCGGTTGGATTGATTCTGAGCTGACTTTGTATGCGATGTGAGGATGGACAGGAGGGATGGTGCGCGAGGTGTATTTATTATATGTGCGGAGTGGCGTGCGACGAGGAAGAGACCAGCATTGGTTGGGTGCGCGGAAGGAACACGTGCGAGAATGGAGCTCGCAGCGTTTCTGTGCGCGTCTGCTGCTAGAAATGAAAAGGCCTTCTCCTCTGTTCTCCGGCTGCAAAGGAAGGTGTAACGAACGTGGGGGTCTTATTTTGGTCATGGTATTTTTGGCGTGTCCTTTCCCGTCGTTTTTCTGCTGCCTTTGCGTTTGTTTGGCGGATCTGGATCAGCTCCAGGGGTAGGTGCGTCGGCGCCTGAATTGAATTGTGAGCGTCACGTGATGCAACATGATCATTGTCGACGTATACGATGATCATTCTACTCCGACTTTTAGAAATAAAAATAGTGGATATATACTAGCGTTGCTTACTTGCTTCTCAGTAAGTGTCTGGGTGAAGTGTCATTTTGGCTCTCCACGTGACGTGCTCCGGAGCCGAGCCTAACCGATAAGGCCTCCTCGACGCGTCGTGTTAGTTATGTGCCTCGCGGTTACGTCCCAGTCTCGCCTTGGACATTTCTCTCGTTAGGCTTTGTCGTACAACGTCGACACGTCCATCATCATCCAGTCCATCGCCGTTTGCTAGAGGCACGTTTCGTTCGGCGGCCAGAACATCCCACCATTTTCGGGGGGTTTAAGCCTCTCAAGGACATCCGTTGAGAACACAACACACACTGTAACAAGAAGTTACCACCTGGTATCAAAACTCAAAAGATGACACAGTGCTCTAGGAGCAAACCTGGAGTACAATTTTTTTCACCCGCAAAAAAAGACTACTATTTTCTTCTTATTGGATTGCAGATCAAGATCTTCACGGCTTGGATTCCCTAACATTTTCTCCCAGAAGACTCGGAGTAGTAATTTGTTTAATCCTAGAACATTGTGAAGCAGAAAATGCAATTCTATTGCCGACTTAGTAAGGGCCACTTTAATTCATTAGAAAAGTAAATGAGAATCGCGAACCAACCTGTGGTTGGATGGTTAGGGAACCCAAGCCGTGAAGATCTTGATGATATGCCGGCTCAGTCTCTTGAAGATGTTCATGGAAGTATGATGTGGGTGTGTGCGTTCATAGGGGTGAGTGTGTGCGCGTGTGTTGCGTTTGTGCTGTGTTAAAAAATTAAAGGAAAATCATGGGATTATAATTTTTTTATATGATAACACCATCATTTGTTTGATTCAAAATATGAAAAATGGAGAAAATTTCCTTTTTGGACTGACTAGAAAAAACAAAGGAAATTTACAATCCAGTCAAACCTCTCTTTTGGCTAACCTTAAATTTGCATATGGTCTAACCTTAATTTGACCATGTATCCTATGTTTCTCATATTCCTACCTATCAAACATGTAATTCTGCATCCCTTAGAAAAAAAAATGTGATTCTGCAAATTCCTTTATTTTGCCATTCCTCTGTATTGCCCCTGCGATCCTATCCTATTTTTGTGTTTTGTCTAATTCTACGTTTTCTGAAATTCTGCATATTAAAGAGGCCATAAGCAGCTAGTTATAAAAAGAAAAGGCCAAAAAACGACAATACCCCCATTCAGTGGAAGATAAAATGCACACAGCATGCGACGGAAGCTCAAGAGAACGAAATATTTGTGCAAAATCAAAATGCATTGTTCTTTCTCTGTCGCAATGACAACCGAATTTTACAATTTTGCGTCCGTGACTAACAATGAGGCACAACGGTCTATCAGTAACGACACTGACACCCAAATCTCTCTCGTACCAACCGAAATAATGCGCTCCATCCACATTCCGCACAAGGTCGTACCACCTGCCGGCATCAGCACCAGCGAAATGGACATCAACCTCGGCTTCCAATCCTTCTTCACTCCAAGGACCGAAGTCTGTGCCGGCGATCGCCGTGGGCGTCGTTGTTTCTGAAGCTTCAGGGCGTCCGCCGTGCACGACGATCCAGCCATCGTCGGACTCCCAGTCTGGCAAGGCCGAGCAAGGGCTCGCCAGCGAGCCGATCCTCTCGGCCGCGCTCGTCAGCATGTCCTCTGTTTCGCTTTCCTCGTCCGACTCCCAGAATTCCGCGTTGAGTGTGCTCTCGGGGGACATGATCCAATCCTGCTTCGCCGGCTCCGCGTCGACGTCGTGGAAGGCGGACGCGAGGAACGGGTGCTCTAGGAGCTGCGCGGCGGTGGACCGGTGGCGGGGGTTTCTTGCGAAGCACTTGCGCAGGAAGTCCTTGGCCTGCGGCGACAGCGACGCGGGCAGCTCAGGCACGTCGTCCGTGTATCCGATCCGGTGGACCGCCGCGAAGACGTCGTCCATGCCGCTCCAGGGGGCGCGGCCGGTGGCCATCTCGATGACGGTGCAGCCGAGCGCCCACACGTCGGCCGCCAGGCCCTGCTCCTCCCCGCGCGCCACCTCCGGCGCCATGAAGGCCGGAGTGCCGCCGATCGTCCGGTCGGAATCCGCGGCCCTCGCGCACCCGAAGTCCGCGAGCTTGGCTCGGCCGTCGGCGCCGACCATGACGTTCCTCGCCTTGACGTCCCCGTGCACCAGCGAGTTCCCGTGGAGGTAGGCCAGCCCCCTGGCCACGTCCGCCGCGTACCCCTGGATGGCGCGCTCCGCGAGGCTGCCGCCGCTCCTGGCGGCCTCGTCGGCGAGCGAGCCGCGCGGCGCGAACTCGAGGAAGAGCTGGTACTCGCCGCCGGGCGCGGCGCGGGAGCCGAGGCACGGGACGATGTGCGGGGAGCAGAGCCCCGCCATGACACTACCCTCGCGCCGCAGCGTGTCGGCCGCGCCGGCGCCGGCAGACTTGACCGCGAGCAGCTGGCCGGAGGCGTCGTCAGAGGCGAGCCAGACGACAGCGCCGGACGCGCCGCGGCCGAGCGTGCGGAGCCGCCTGAGCTGCTTCGCCGTGGTGGCATCCATTCCGAGAGAGGGATCGTAGGGTTGGGTGCTGTGGTGCGTGGAGTTGGACGTGTGATCGATGAGCCTCTGGGAAGGATGGGAGCGGGAGCGTATTTGTATGGCCACCACCCCGTTTGGCTGCGATGATTGCGTGGGAAACGTGCGGGAGAGAGACGGGGGCACGGGGCGTGTGCTTCGTGCGGAGCCCCCGTCAACGCCCAGGTAGATGGGATTTCCGACCTCTCTTTTCAGCCGCCGCCCATGGTCAAATTCTAGTGCCTGCCGCGCGTGCGCGGTAGATGGGATTTCCGACCTCTCTTTTCTTGGTGGGGCGCTCGTTCAAGTGATCCTGCATATGCATGACTAGCAAGGTCAGGTGCATCTGCATCGGTGTAGTATATCTGCTTGATGCGCGAATATTCTTTGCATGTTTTGGATCACTCCCAAATCCAGTGCGGGTTCTGAACTAATTGTCCTTTTTCTTTTTCTTTTTTGGAACGGAGGTGTTCTGAACTAAGGCCAGTGGTGGGCGGCTACTGGGATCGCTCTACTTTCCTATACCACGAGTCGGTCTACGTTCAGATGAATGTTCACAACCAGTCAACCGTACTATGTATCTCGGAGGGAGTGACGTAAGGCTCAGGCTGCGAGTTGCCAAAACAAGCTGAGGAACCAGCAAGGTTGCTTCGCCCTCCGCAGCCGGGAGCTGACCACCCACCTACAGCGGCCTTCTGCTCGCGACTCGGCTCACCGGTCTCACTTGGCTGGAGCTGTTGGTGTTTCCAGCGGCCTGGTCCTCCCAACAAGTCAATCAGTACACACATCGTGAAGGTTTCTCTACGCCAAATCTTCGCCTTCTCTTTCCTCCTCCCGGAAGGGCAAAAGAAGGGAGGAAAGTTCAACTTCCAACTTCCAAGTTCCAAATAGATGTCATTTGGAAGGGGGACTTTCACACTTCCAAACAATTGATGTTGACGTTCCAGTGTGTTTAGCATTAGAATACTGAGCAAGCTTGGAAACAAAAATGGACCGATCTAGCGAGCGGCCGGCTGCTCGCTAGTCGTCCCGAGCGGCCGGTCTAAAACAAGTAATTTTGGTCCTTAATCCATAAAAGGTAATTTATCCCTTCCAATTGATAAAATTCTAATTAGAAAAAGTATCACGTACTAAAAAAGTACTACAAAGAACAGGTATGAACGCATTGATTTTGGGTTTTTAAATTTTTAAAAAGTCATAACTTTTAGTTCGCGCTTCGGAATTAAGATCTGTTTTCACTGTTGGAACCCTCGCGACGTGCTCTTCAAAAGTAGATCCCATATGGGGATGTTTCGATGAACTAGTCTTCCTGCCAACTAAATACCAATATGTGTGTAACTAGACTACATGCCGCGCCAACTAAGCATATGCGTGTGCCAACAGTCATTCTGCCAACTAAACATCAATGTGTGTGCAACTAGACTAAATTGCCGCGTCAACTGAGTATATGTGTGTGCTAATAGTCCTGCCAACTAAACATCAATGCGTGTGCAGCTAGACTACATTGCCGCGCCAACTGAGCATATGTGTGTGCAACCAGTGTCCTGCCAACTAAACATCAATATGTATGCAACTAGGCTACATTACAAGCCAACTGAGCATATGTGTGTGCCAATATTCCTGCCAACTAAACATTAATGTGTGAGCAACTAGACTACATTACAAGCCAACTGAGCATATGTATGTGCAACTAGACTACATTACAAGCCAACGAACGAGGGTTGCACATCGACTATTAGGTAGTTGGTCGGGGCAGTAGACTAGTTGCACAACAAAGTTGTCGTGGTTGCTAGATTGCAATCTCATAGGAAGTTGAATCATACAGATCCAAAAATTAGTTTTGGAAAAAGTAGCACGATGTAGTACTAAAGTTGCACAATACAGTACTAAAATTGCACAATATAGCACAAAGGTTGGCATCAAAAAAATTTCGTCGAAATATACCCATGCATGATCTAGTTTTAAAGATCTCG